TATTCTATTCTATTCTATTCTATTCTATTCTATTCTATTCTATTCTATTCTATTCTACTCTACTCTACTCTACTCTACTCTACTCTACTCTACTCTACTCTATTCTGTATCTATTCTATTCTGTATTCTATTCTATTCTACTCTACTATTCGGTATTCTATTCTATTCCATTCAGTTCCATTATTTTCTGTTCCATTCCATTTTTTTCCCATTCTTCCTTCCACTATTCTGTTCTGCTCTGTTCTATGCTATGCTATGCTATGCTATGCTATGCTATGCTATTAATATAACGTGATACATTGTTCCTTTTCCATTTTATTCTTTTATCTTCTTGCCTAGTTCAAGCCAAGGAACACAATATGTAGACAAGCGTTAGACAAGAATTGTGACTTTCCCGAGTATTGCAATGGGAGTTCGGCTATTTGCCCGGGCAATGTTTACGTCCAAAATGGCATTGATTGTGCTTCTAACACCGGCTTCTGTTATGGTGGATTTTGTCAATCAGCCGACTTGCACTGCCAGGAGTTCTTCGGATCACGTATGTTGAAATGGCTAATTTTGATTCTTTTCCTCTCCCCTTAATGCAGACAAGGCCTTTCCTGACCATACTTTAACACCATCAAGCAACCCTACCTTTCTCCTGGGATCAGTTTTTTGTGCGCACAAAGATGATTCTTGGCCTTTTTTTTAACATCAGCTTTGTGTCAGGTTTCTTTATCATAATTCTTGGGAATGATCAGCTGCTGCTTCTCAACTTACAGATTACCCCAAACGATGGATACCAGCAAGCCGTGGGGAGAAAGAATGACTCTAAGGCCCACCTCAGTTTACAGCATGAAACAAAACTAAATGGAGACCTGCTAGTCAGGAACACACAGACACACGCACGTTTCTGTTCTCATCCACGAAGCTTCTTCAGCTCTGACTGGATAGTGGGGAATGGAAGGATTTATACTCCTTGCAGACAGCTAGTGTCATACCCCTGTCGGAATCTGATTCTGAGGGGGAGGCCGAGCAGCTGACAGGGAGTGGGAGTGTGGCTCCGTTGGCTGTGGAAGAAACTGGGGAAGGGCAAAGTCCGGCTGGGCAGAGCAGGGGTGAGGTAGAACAAAGGAGAGGGAGTTCGGAGGAAGATCCAGGCTTACCCTCTCTTCATCCTTGGGTACGCAGGGAGGAATAGAGAAGGGAGCAATGTGAGTTGTGTGGCTTACGGGGGAGGAAAGGGCCTTGATTCCCTTCATTAGTTGCAGCTGGGAACACAGTGTTTACAAAGGGAGGCTGCACACAGCAACTTGTTGAAAGCAAATTGTGAGTTATCTTTTATGGTCGAGGCTTATCTGGGTTCCTGGCGTCATCCCAACTGTGTGTGTTTTGTTGGCCTTTGAAGTCTGCAATTCCTTATCCTGCCCTGTCCAGTTAATTGCTGCAGCGTGGTTTGTGTGGGTTTTTATTTACAGTTTATATGTACTTCCTTTTCGGACTGAATTTCCTTCACTTAAAGACTGTTCTTGGGAGAGTTTTTTTCTCCAGCTGAAGGTAACTGGACATTGGGGGCAAAGTTGGAGGTATTAAAGGGTCTTTTCTTACTTATGTGACTGTGTTGCCTTTGTGCCATGCCCCGGGTCATCACAGCTGGACTTTTAGCTATACAATTGGGTATGAAAACCCGGAGTAGGAATAGATTTCCAGAGGAAAAATTGCAGACTACAGGAACCATTTGGGCTACTCAGATGACACTGAGGATACAAATAAATCTTCAAGTAGCCTCAACGACCCTCTAAAAGGATGCAAATGACCAGCTGTCTGCAAGGAATATAAATCCTATATAAAGCTTCTTGCATGAGAAGCAAAACAACTTCAAAGGAAAAAACAAGGCAGTCCAGTAGCCTCCTGAAAAAAGCACTTTTGGGACAAACTGTTATATCCGTATATCAGTTAAAACATTGCGAGGGAAAAAGTTGCGAGTGATATAGTTGCTCTTCTAACCAAACTCTGCCAAAAACATATAGGGTCAAGAAACGCCCCGCAAGTCTGCTACGAAGTGAATAACCAGGCTGATAGATTTGGGCACTGTGGCGTCGATTTCAAAAGGAAATTTAAAACTTGCTCTTCTCGGTAGGTGATTAGGCAATAAAGAATACGTTGAAATTCTCTGTGTCAACTCATAAAATATTTCTGTGGTCTTTTTAGAGTTGCCAACAGAAAGGGAGAGGGAAGCAGTGGGCAGCTTGCATTCCATAAATGTTTTCAAAGATAGTAACTAGGTGACTGAAATTTCTGTTGTGCAAAATTCTAACTGGAGAGCATGATTGATGACTCTTGGCTGTGGATATGTCCCATTGGAGAATATGAATTACGATATGCCCAGGGGGTTGGGGGAAAACCAGGCTCAAGGGTGACAATGAATGATGTGTCTCAGAGTCGGCTACACCCAGGCAGTGCCGGCATGTTTACTCCTAATAAATCATCGTTAAGTTCTGGAAGTTGGCTAGAGACTCATGATTTAAATGGGAGTAACTGCTGGAGTCCTGGCACTCTGTTTTGGAGAGAGGGGCTATAGGAGGGAATGAGGTTCAATCCCTGGCCTGAGTTTTCTTGGACCAGATTATAGAACATAGAATAACAGGGTTGGAAGGGACCTTGGAGGTCTTCTAGTCTAACCCCCTGCTCCAGCAGGAGATCCTGTACCATTTAAGACAAATGGCTTTTTGAAAACTTCTGGATGCAAGGATTTCACTGAGTAATTGTATCATAAATTAATTAATTATAATGGATTACATCACATCATATCACATCACATTATACGTTTGATGTGTTATATGTTGCTATATTACATTAGATTGCAGATTATATATGTTATTACATGTTATATTGTATTGCACTGCACTATATATTATGTTATCCTATTTTATTTATTTTTACAGATAATAATTTTCATTTCCAGTATTGGAGATTGTGGACTTTAATGCACATTGTCCCTTCTCTTCTCTTCTCTTCTCTTCTCTTCTCTTCTCTTCTCTTCTCTTCTCTTCTCTTCTCTTCTCTTCTCTTCTCTTCTCTTCTCTTCTCTCCTCTCCTCTCCTCT